GTATACGTGCGTCAAAGTAACAAATGTATCAAAGTAACAGTCTGCACACCTGAAATGTACAGTGTTACATGTCAAATCTATCCAGGAAATTCTTGGAATGGGCTTTTCACACCTCATAGGCAATGGCTGTCAATATCCAAATTATGACAAATTCATGTTCACAAACTCTCAAGGGAAATCTTTTCCTTACTCTATGTCCTAGGTGGAGACAGACAATTATTCTCACAGCCAAATAGGTTTTCTCCTAGATTACTCTTCCATGGAGTGTATCACATTATGTGTCCCAGTCTTAAGCTTTGGCTTCTGTGTCTTCCTCCACCTTCCCCCACCCACCCCCTGTGTGGTCTAATGAAACTGAGACTCTAGGCCACCAGGAATTGATAGATGCTCTTCAGGGGACCAATTTGTTCACTCTTGCAGACCCATCTGGATTTGTCATTTCTAGTCATTTTCCACCTTTGAGCCATTTTCTTACTTTCTTATCAGTTGAACTGTATATATTTTAGTTTATAATGTTTTACCTCACATTTTTAGGTATTTTGTGCCAAGAGTGTTTTTCAACTGCGAGAACCAAAGTCTCTCAACTATCTGTTGACCTTCAAAAATAAGTGAGGATTTGTAGTAAAACCTTCATTGTCTGACAGACAATAAGGGCTCCAAAAACTACTATATGTGATAAAATTTTGTTTCAAAAATGTAAGATGAAGATAATAATACCTGGCTTGCCTAAATCATAAGAGAATCTGATGAGAAATGCTTCCTTCAAGAATATAAATGTATTCAGCTATTTTTTTTCCTTTTAGTCCTTTTTATTTCCTTCACATTATGACTCAGAAAATTCACTCGATCAACAAATGCTCATTGAGTGCCCCCTAATGTGACAGCACCACCTTAGGTGCTTGAATTATGAACAAAATAGACAAAAACTTAATTTTCATCAAGCTTACATTCTATCTGGAGAAATCAGACAACAAAAATATACACAACAAAGGAGTAAATTTATAGGTGATTAAGTGCTATGGAGAAAAGAAACAAAACAGTGTCAGGGAAAGATATATTGCCACATTCATGTTTTAGAGAAAGTAATGGTTCTATAAAAAACAGAAAAGATATGCAGAGAGAACATTTCTCCACCAATGCAATGAGATGAGCAGTAGCATCCTCAGAAAGGTTGTTGGTATAGATGTGGGAAGGCCAGTTGTACCAAAGCAATAAACAGTTTCATATAGAGCAGTATTTTTTTTGGCCAGCACATATTGTCTAACATATATACATTAAAACATTGTGTTTTTTTGTAGCCATCATGAAACTATGAAGACTCAGAAAATTTAGTAAGAAGTGAAATCTTACAACAAATTTAACCATCTAGTTTTGTTTCTTCTTTCTGAAGATTTTCAGAATAGTCTCTAGTGAGAATGATGCTATGCCATGAATGATTTGAAATACTTCATGAGTTGAAATGAGCTATTAATGTAAAAGAACTTGGTATATAGTGCCAGATACATGTATAAGTATTTGTTAACATTTTTACAATTTTTTTAAAAAGTCATAAGACTATATCCCAAACCTTACTGGGGATTACTGATTAAGTTTTTAATGAGCCAGTCAATAAGAGGAAAATTAAGTGCCATTTTGAGAACTAGGATAACCTTTTCAGGCAAATCAATTGCAGTTACCCTTGATAACACCGTTCTTTATAATACAGACATAAATAATGTGTACATATGCTGATATACTTCAGGGTTTATCTTAGTGTTCCTAAATACTTAAAATTCCTTAATCCTTCGCTTTCTTCCATTTCACTGCCCAGTATACTGCATGTTCCATCAGAAAGTGTGAAATGGAAGGGAAACTGAAAGCCTGTAAACCATGTCAGTTTTTCTCTTTAAGTAAGTGAGGAAGTCAAAACAGCTAGATAAAATTAGTTTGGAGGTGTTTTCATCTGTGCTATTCCTGTCCTACATCACCACAGATCATCAGGGATATACTCGTATAACTCCCTAGAATTTGTGGTTTCAAGAATTTCTGAGCTATTTATGTGAATATATTTTATTTGAAAGTCAATAATAATTGCTTCTCTTAGAATATGCTTCTGCAAGCAGCTAAGGAGAAATATAAGGTGATCATTAGAGCTCTGACGGTTCTCGCTCTTTGCAATGAAAATGGAAAGAACATTCTCCCCCAAACAGACCTGGAAGCAATTTTTACATTCCCATTGCAGTCTTTACATTGCTGTTTGAATTTACTTATTCCCCAGTCAGCCCTGCCTTTGACTAAAAACTCCTTGAAGGAAGAATTGCCATCCATTTTTGTAGCCTTGGGTTCCTAGTACAGGTGGACACCAGTGCAGGTGGACACCATTCTTAAGTGAAAGAATAGATAAAGATTGCTGAGGAATTAACCATTTCTCTCTCTTGAACACTGTAAGTCCAACAAAAGCAGGTTGGTGACGTCTCTTGTTTGGGGCAATCCGGCTCCCTTAACTGCAAGAAGATCTGAATCAAAATATATCCATTCCTTTTATATATTCATTACCTACACGCTATGAGTGTACCAAACCATTATATTAAACCCTGAATCTTAGTATAAGCCACCTTTCAAATAAACTGAAAGTTTTAGAATAAGCTATCTTGCCAGTCCATACCCAATGCAACCTCATTAGAAGTCCCAAACACAGCTGAGAAAGTTCCTCTTTGGTAAAGTTAGACTAAATAGCTTATACTGGGTAATTATGATAGTTGAATATTCTGACTAATGATTATTCAGGGACTTAAATGCATTCTTGATTAAACATGATCAAACACAGTACTCTATTTTAACTTAGGCCTTCAGAGGGTTTATTATTTTGAAATCAAATCTATTAAACCCCTTGAATACATTATTCCTCATTAAGATTCCTTTCGGATTCATTTGACTCATTAAAGACAGAAAATAATCCATAAGTAAAAATAATTTCTTAATATTTATCCTAGAAATTAAAGGGACAAGAATATAAGAAAAAATGAAAATAAGACACAAGTAACTGATAGTACAGGTATACAGGAGACAGGTATAAGACTATACAGGAGAATCTCAAGGTTAAATTTCAGCACTTCTAGACACTCTTAGCCTATCATCTAAATAATTTTACCAGATATTTTATCTTATGAAATACACTGGTTGTCAAGTCAACTCATTTCATAAGGCAACCATTATTGTGATTTAAAAATTACTTTAAAAAAGAGCCAATTATGTGCCTTTAGTTTAGTCAATATAAGACTGCATAAAATGTGGCTATATAAATTTGTTCCTGGTGACCCATAAGCCATTATAAAATATAAAGTGTTATTATTACACTGTTGCATGTGTAAAAGATTTTGCCTAATAATCAACTTTTTGTTTATGGTGGCTCTGTGCAAAAGTCATTCTACCACAAAATGGTATCAGGATAAGATAGTGGTTTACAAATGTTTTTGTTCCTTGGCCCCAAGGAGAGTTCCTTTGAAACAAAATTCTCAAATACATCATTCCAAAAAGAGGCCAAGGAAATATCTATGCTGTTCTTGGAGTAGGAAAAGAGAAAGTTTGGGGAGGCAGTAAAGATAGTATTGGGAGCTGATATATTCAGTTAAAGAGAGCAAAAACTATTATCAGTGATGGCTGATTATTGCCAAGGCATCTGCCTGGAAAAGAACTTTAACATTCTCTTGTAGTCACTAATTCTCATAAAACACTAACCAATAGTAACCAAATTGCTTATTAAGTTTTTTTAGGCTGATTACCAGGATTTTATTATATCCAACCTGATTTTTTGGAGGTGCTAGGTACATCTATATGACCTACCTTAGATAACAATTAAATAAGCTTATTAGCCACAGCAGTTTTCAAAATTGTAACAGGTTATCTCTGTTCTCTTAATTTTTTCACTCAGTGAAATCAAGGATTAAAAATATATGCTGTAATTGCTTAATCTAAGCAACATAATGCCAGAAAGCCAGAGAAGTTTGAAAAATTCAATTGTTCATGAAATTGCACAGAGTATTTATTTATCAAAAATATTTTTATCTGGCTACTTAGCATCACACATGTACAACATTAAATAATCACTGCAATATGTCATCAAATATAATTAGCAAAATAATTAGCAAAAGTATTCAACAAATGTACTTTTAAGATTATGTATATGCAACAATAATCATTGCAGCAAGTCATAAAATACAATCATTTTTCCCTGATTTTAATCAAGTTCATGTAACTTTTTAATGACAGAACACAGGATTTTCTTTTTACTTTTTCTTCTCATTAAATGCTAAGGAGTAAAATTACCATGTAAAATAATCACGTTAATATATTTTCAAATCTTTTACTGAGATATAAAAATACTTTAAATTTACATCTATTTATTTTTCTACCCTAGATTTCAGCAATCATATCACAATTCTCTGAAATTCCACAGCTAATTTTGTTCTATTTCTCTCTACTTATAGATACCCACACACACACACACTTGCTTCACTTTGCACCCACCTTATTTTAATTATATTTTGAAAATCTCTGAATACTTTCACTTTTCAAAAAATATCAATGTTATTTGTGTGCAATAGTAGTGATTGGAGGAATTTAAGCATTTTTAACATAATAAATGTTACTTTCTTTATAAATAATTCCAAAATGTAAAAGCATACTTAAAACTGGTTTGAAAGAAAATGTTTCAAAGAGCAAAATCATGTGATGAAAGTACTATAAACCCAATATTTGATATGTGGACTGCAGATTTTAAATATTTCTTTCATGTTCTCATTTCATTATTGTATGCTAAATAATTAAGTACTATTAACAAGGTTGTTGTGCTAGAAAACAGTCAACTAAAATTGCGTCTCATTTTATTAATAAACCTTTTGAGACTTAGAGCTTCAGCCCATGTGGCATGTACCCAAAAAGGAGACCTTTCCTCTAACCACTAGCTGTCATAATTTCTTAAAATAAGGAAAAGAAAAGATAAATTAGAATTATACACTCACCTTTTGGTGTTTTGAAATATTCTGGCAAAACTAAAATGAACATGATCACCATTGCCAAAAGTAATTTAATGAGGGCTGTTTTTGTCATGTCTTTTTACATGACACAGTGTGTTCTCATCTAGTACACTGACGGTATGTTTCTTCCTGCTTCAAGTTTCATCTCTGCAGCACTTTGAATTTATACAGTTTACCTAGCACCCACTTCCTTTTGTGTAAGACAGAAAAAAAGAGGCCTTGAACTGAGACTTCTTCATTTTGAGTCACTTTCCATTAAGGAAACTAATAAGCACTTTCAAACTAACTTCTAAACAGAAAGATAAAGAATCTCAATAAGCAGAGGTCTGCCCTCATCTAAATTGGGAGATATTTTCCCATGTTTGACAATTTGTATGAGTAAATACAAACTCACCAAAAATAAAATAGTGAATGTCAGTCATGTCCAGGTTTTTTGAATATCATTCATTCATTTACTTATTAAATGATTGTTGAGCTTTTTAGTGCCAGACACTGTGCTGGATTCTGGTGTTCAGAAATCTGTATCTAGAAGACAGAAAACAGTACAAAATGTAAGGATAAACTAAACACATATGCAAAATTTGATTTTACTTTAGCACACTGTATAAAACCTATAGAATGGGACTCATCATTATGCCTATAAACACTGTGATAATTGTTACAGAATCCACATTTTCAGTCCCCATTTCAATAAAAGGTCTTTCATTATGATAGTTACAGTGAAATAAAATACTCTGTTTTAGAATACAACTGAGGAAAGATGGCAGCGTGAGAGGTGAGACAGAGACCTCCCCTTAAAACCACATATAATACGAAAATATAATTAATACAACTAATCCTGAAAGAGCAACAGGAAAGAAGGCTGCATCAGACTGCATACACCTGGAGAAAAGAGCAAACCTCATGGAACAGGGAAATGTACCAAAGCTGTGACCCAGCAGGACCCAAGCCCTTCCCTCACTTCACCTCATCAGCAGGAGAAAGAGAAACAGAGTGGGGAGGAAGTGGAGGCCTGGGACTGCTGAACACCTTGCCCTGGAGATCTGCTCTGGGAGCACTAACCTACATTGCATGGTGCTCTGGTGAGTAGTGGGGTTGGAAAGCTAAGACAGGCAGAATGTGTGGAGAGATGGAGATTCTAGCTGCTTCTGGAAAACAGGAATTCATATCTGGCTGATCTGGGCAGGCAGTCTGAGAGGCTTCCTAACAGCAAGAGGGCTTCTAAAGGGGTAAGGATTGCACAGAGCTTACTGCTCAGGAGAAAACAGGTAGACAAAATTGTCTGGGTGCACTCTGCCCATCAGGTTGGGAACCTAAACAATCGTCAGGCACTCCATCCCCCTGGCTGGCTACACAGCTCCAAGGCCCCCCACCATGATACACAGCCTGCTGTGTCTCCCTCCCGGCTAGCCTACACCTGGCTTGCAAAAAGGCAGCCCCTGCCCTGGTATCAGGCCAACAAGAGGGAAGCCCCGCCTATGGCAGCTATAAACACAAAGCATAGAGGCTTACACCTGTGTGTTCAACCCACTGGTTCTGGCAGTGTGGACAGGCATAGCAGCCAGGAAGCAGGAAATAGCTCTTTTCTCCCCCCAGGAACCAGCACCACTCCCCTGCGACCCCCAACATCCCTCCAGGGGCTGAGCAGCTCCAGAGAACTAGAGGGTACCACATACAAATACCAAATGTCAAAGGAACCTGGTCCAAAGCAAAATCTCAACACCAGAGAAAAGACCAAGTGAGAATAAATTAATAAACCTTCCTGATAGAGATTTCAAAATAAAAATCATAAACATGCTCATGGAGGTACAGAAAAATATTCAAGAACTCAGGAACAAATTTAGGATGGAGATCCAATTGTTGAAGAGCACAATGGAGGATATTAAAAGCAGATTAGATACAGTGGAGGAGATGATAAGTGAAAGAGAAACTAGGGAAGAGGAATACAAATATGAGGCACAGAGAGAAAAAAGGATCACTATGAATGAAAGAATACTGAGGGACTTGTGAGACCAATCAAAACAAAACAATATTTGTATTATAGGGGTACCAGGAGAAGAAGAGAGAGAGAAAGGGATAGAAAGTGTCTTTGAGGGAGTAATTGCTGAAGACGTCCCCAATCTGGGGAAGAAGATAGTCTCTCAGGCCATGGAGGTGCACAGATCACCCAACATGAGGGACCCAAGGAGGACAACACCAAGACATATAATAATTAAAATGGCAAAGGTCAAGGATAAGGACAGACTATTAAAAGCAGCCAGAGAGAGAAATAAGATCACATACAAAGGAAAGCCCATCAGGCTATCATCAGACTTCTCAACAGAAACCTTACTGGCCAGAAGGGAGTGGCATGATATATTTAATGCAATGAAGCAGAAGGGCCTTGACCAAAGAATACATTATCCAGCAAAATTATCATTTAAATTTGAAATAGGGATTAAACAATTTTCAGATAAGCAAAAGCTGAGAGAATTTAGCCCCCAACAAACCATCACTACAGTGTATTTTGGAGGGACTGCTATAGATGGAAGTGTTCCTAAGGTTAAATAGTTGTCACCAGAGGTAATAAAAAGGGATAGACAAAGACTACAGAATATGATACCTAATATATAAAGAAAGGAGGAAGAAAAAAGGAGGGGAAAAAAAGAACCTTTAGATTGTGTTTGGAATAGCATACTAAGTGAGTTGTTAGACCCTTGAACCTTTGGTAACCACAAATCAAAAGCCTGCAAAGGCAATAAGTACATATCTATCAATAATCACCCTAAATGTAAATGGTCTGAATGCACCAATCAAAAGACATAGAGTCCCTGAATGGATAAAAAAAAACAAGACCCAACTATATGCTGCCTACAAGAGACTCACTTCAAACCCAAAGACACACACAGACAAGAAGTGAAGGGCTGGAAAAAAGATATTTCATGCAAATAATAGGCAGAAAAAGCAGGAGTTGCTGTACTTGTATCAGACAAAATAGATTTCAATACAAAGTAACAAGAGAAAAAGAAGGACATTACATAATGATAAAGGAGTCAGTCCAACAAGAGGGTATAACCATTGTAAGTATCTATGCACCCAACATAGGAGCACCCAAATATGTGAAACAAATACTAACAGAATTAAAAGAGGATATAGAATGCAATGCATTCATTTTAGGAGACTTTGACACTCCACTCACTCTGAAGGACATATCAATAATAAGTAAGGAGACAAAATAAGTAAGGAGACAGAGACATTGAATAACACATTAGAACAGATGAACCTAACAGACATCTCCACCCAAAACAGCAGGATACACATTCTTCTCAAGTGCACATGGAACATTTTCAAGAATAGATCAGATACTAGGCCACAAAAAGAGCTTAGTAAATCCAAAACATTGAAATTGTACCAACCAGCTTCTCAGACCACAAGGGTATGAAACTAGAAGTAAATTTTACAAAGAAAATGAAAAAGCCTACAAACACATGGAGGCTTAACAATGCTCCTAGATAACCAATGGATCAATGACCAAATAAAAACAGAGATCAAGCAATATATGGAGACAAATGACAACAATAATTCAATGCTGCAAAATTTATGGGATGCAGCAAAGGTGGTGCTAAGAGGGAAGTATATTGCAATACAGGCCTACCTCAGGAAAGAAGAACAATCCCATATGAGAGCTCACAATTAACAAAACTAGAAAATGAAAAACAAATGAGGTCCAAAGTCAGGACAAGGAGGGATGTAATAAAGATTGGAGCATAAATAAATAAAATTGAGAAGAATAAAACAACAGAAAGAATCAATGAAAGCAGGAGCAGGTATTTTGAGAAAATAGACAAAATAGATAAACCTCTAGCCACACTTATCAAGAAAAAGAGAAAGTCTACACATATAAACAGAATCAGAAATGAGAAAGGAAAAAGCACTATGGACACCACAGAAATACAAAGAATTATTAGAGAATGCTATGAAAAATTATATGCTAACAAACTAGATAACCTAGAAGAGATGGACAACTTCCTAGAAAAACACAACCTTCCAAGGCTGACCCAGAAAGAAACAGAAAATATGAACAGACCAATTTCTAGCAACAAAATTGAATTGGTAATCAAAAAACTACCCAAGAAAAAAGCCACTGGATCAGATGGCTTAACCACTAAATTTTTTTTTTGGTATCATTAATCTACAATTACATGAAGAACATTATGTTTACTAGGCTCCCCCCTTCACCAAGTCCCCCCCACATACCCCTTCACAGTCACTGTCCATCAGCATAGTAAGATGCTGTAAAATCACTACTTGTCTTCTCTGTGTTGTAGAGCCCACCCCATACCCTCCCACACACATTATACATGCCAGTTGTAATGCCCCCTTTCTTTTTCCCACCCTTATCCCTCCCTTCTCATCCATCCTCCCCAGTCCCTTTCCATTTGGTAACTGTTAGTCCATTCGTGGGTTCTGTGATTCTGCTGCTGTTTTGTTCCTTCAGTTTTTCTTTGTTCTTATATTCCACATATGAGTGAAATCATTTGGTACTTGACTTTCTCTGCCTGGCTTATTTCACTGAGCATAATACCCTCTAGCTCCACCCATGTTGTTGCAAATTTCACCACTGAATTTTATCAAACATTTAAAGAAGAGCTAATGCCCATCCTTCTTAAATTTTCCAAAAAGTAGAAGAGGATGGAATAGTTCCAAACTCATTCTGTGAGGCCAGCATCACTCTAATACAAAAACCAGATAAAGACAACAACAACAAAAAAGAAAATTACAGATCAATATCCCTGATGAACATAGATGCAGAGATCCCCAACAAAATATTAGCAAACTGAATTCAAAAATACATCAAAAAGATCATCCATCATGATCAAGTGGGATTCATCCCAGGGATGCAAGGATGGTACAATATTTGGAAATCCATCAAATTCAAGGACGAAAAGGACAAAAATCACATGATTATCTCAACAGATGCTGAAAAAGCATTTGACAAAATTCAACATTCATTTATCATAAAAACCCTTAACAAAATGGGGATAGAGGGCATGTACCTCAACATAATAAAGGCCATATATTACAAACCCATAGACAACATCAAACTTAACAGCAAAAAGCTGTAAACTTTTCCTCTAAGATAGGGAA